ACTGAAAAGTTTATTTCAAAACTGAAAATAATAAGTCCACAGTGTCTAAATTAATAATTTCACATTTACTTTTGGATTCACATGGTACATAAAAACTCATGTTCTGTGTTTGATTCTTCATCAAGCACAACCTCATCTTTATGTGGAGTGTATCTCTGTGTCTGAGCTATTCAGCCATGACATGATGATTAGTAAGTTACCAAATACATATTAAATACAATGCCATACAATATGATAGTTTATGGTAGGTTGTGACATTCACCTGTTTTCCACTGAGCTGATAAAAGGAGAGCTTCTGACCCCAGTCTGCCACAGCCAGAATGTCATTGTGCTCATCCCTGTGAAAACACAACAAAATGACTACAGACATAAGCATTAATCACAAGATTCAGCACTGATGAGGCTTCTGTCATTTAAGTAATGATGACAGTGAAAAGCAGAGCAGCCAACCTTCAGCTAGGGGACACGCCGGTCACTCTCTCAGTGATGCAAAGTAATGGATGCAAAGCCTTTTAATGTTAATTTTCCAGAACTGTTTTAATTCAGGACAGAATACAGCATAAACCCATGTACCTCTGCATCTATTAACCCTGAATCTCTGGCGGCTCTAGCAAACGCTGTTCCCTGATTGACCTCATGTTTTGACCACAATTTGATTACCAACTTTCCCATATGAGGCAACCCAGCAATAAAATCTCTACTGTCTTTTATGGCTTTTATCTTTATCCTACTTCCCGCATCTTTTCACCTTTGTGTCGTCTTTTTCCCTTAATTGACCTGTTCTGTGGTCCTGCATAGTTTTCATTGCTGTACTCTCTGCTTTGGCTGTAGGGGGAATCATAGAGCAAAGACAGCTGTTCCCAGGCATCATAATTCAGTCCATCATTGAGAAAGGTCCACCGCTCACTGGTTGAACACTGCCACCTGCTGGCCCTACAAAAACTACACCTAAATAAGAAATCTAATTTTGCACAATTTGGGCTCAAAATCTTGGAAGGACAGACCAAAAATATACATGGCTATGTGTTAATCTGTGGAGACATCCGTCCATTTCTATAATAACTTAGGACTAACTTGGAGGGATTCCAGGCAATGGACCAGATAGGAGAAGAGGAGCCACCTGGACGCTCTATTTTGACCTTCTCCTCCCCATTTTTGTTCCGAATGCTCACCACTCCATTCATCATACCCAGAGCAAGGTATTGCCCGTCGTTTGTCCACCTGCAAGCAAATGATGCACAGCAACATAAATGCACAAATGAAAATGTACTGCTGCTGCATAAACGTTGCTGCTCCAGACTTCACTTACCCACAACATGTTATTTTGCTGCTCACTTTATGTTTGTTTACAGATTTTTGCTCTGGAGACCACAGGCCTAAAAATATGAGAAGTTTGAGATGTTTAATTTCTCTATGTACTTACATTAGGTCACATTTATCAAAGTTCTCCACTAAGGTGCACTCACCAAAGTCACCAGATGAGCAGGAGGCAAGCTGGTGAGTGACTGGGTTGTAGGCAACACACTGGATAGAGTCATTGTGACTACAGATAAACAAATAAAAGAAAAAATGATGGAGGAGTACAGACTGTGCACCGTGGTGTAACACTACAACTCTGTAATACTAAAGCAATAAGTAAAAGCGCTGCTTACGTATATTTTAAAATACCCTCCAGTTTAGAAGTCCAGATAATAATGCTTTTGTCTGCTGACCCTGAGGCAAATCTTTTACCTGCAGAAGAATGCACTACTGAGTAAGAATTAAGAACAAAAATAAGATGACCGACACAGAAAAATGTAGTGAAAATCAATTTAGTACCATCTTTGGCATAAGCCACACAGTACACTATGTCTTTGTGTCCTTTTAAAGGCTGAATAATACTGCCATCTGTTGCATCATAAACCTGGAACAAAAAAAGAAATAAGGTGAAATTGAGTTGAACGATGAAAGTATTCTCTACATGTTTGCATTTTTAGGCTAAAGAAAACAGAAAAGCCTTACCAGGACACGAAGCCCTGCAGCAATTATGAGTTGGCTACCATCTGGTTTGAAGGCAAGGTCATAAACGCTGCAGAAAAAAAAACAAAATAACAGATCCGTGTTGAAATGGTTTTTCAATAAATTGATTAGTTCACGAGCAACAGCTATGAGGATCCATTCATCACTGAAATCATATAATGGAGGTTCCCTGTGGAGTTTTTGAACTCTGGCAATGCCATGGAGGTGGATTTTACAAGGACGTTATTGCTGTCTGCCAAAGTGCACACAGGGAAGGTTTTGCAACCCTCCAACTCTGTTGAAGGTTTTGGAGGAATTCACAAACTTATGAGTGAAGATTAAGCTAAAACATGTCACTGCAACACTGTGAATTAGTAGATATGTTGTTAAGAAATATGAAAGAAATATTAGAAATATAGATGTTAAGAATTCTGGTGTAAAAAAAAAGGATAAATAAATAAAAGCACTGAAAAATCTGGTTTGTATGAAGAGGGAAAACATTCAACAGTTTTGCTAGATTGCAAGGATGCACACAATCTGTTTCGGTGTGAAAACACTCACTGTGAAGCATGGAGAATAATGGCTTCCAGTTTCATAAGTGTGAGAATTTGCAAGTGTCCAATGTTTCTTTAATAGGTTCTTTCAGCTGCAACCTTATTTCCCAAGTGGTCACCACAGCAGATGGATCTGCATATTTGATTTGGCACAGATTTTATGCTGGATGCCCTTTTGATGCAACCTTCCCTCCCTGATCTGGGGTTTGCGACTGGAATTAGGAGTGAACTAGCTTGGGACCTCCAGTGTCTTCTTTCAGTATTGAATTAGGGAATTTCTTTAATATAGCACACTGACTTTTTCTCTTTTTTTCATTTTGGATAGACCGAATAAACAAAAAAAACCATAAAATTCAGAGTTTGAGGAAAAAGAGGACATCTTTAGCAAGGACAAACAAGTGCAAACAACAAAATCACACACGCACACACAAAACATACAAAAAATGTTTGCATCTAACAACAAGGAAAATCACGCGTCTCCATCCACTCCACCCTGCGTGTGCTCTCTCCTCCACCTCTTTTGTGCACTGTCTGTTGTTTTGGATGGTTCACCCCAGATATTTAAATTGGTCCACCTTAACTACTTCTGCTACTTGAAAACTTGTCACCTGTCTCCCTCTCATTCACACACGTATTCTGTCTTGCTTCTACTTTCATTCCTCTTCTTTCCAGTCTGTACCTCCACCTTTCAAAGCTCAAAGGGGCTCAAAGACAATCCCTGATGTAATCCCACCCTCACCTCGAACCCATCTGTACCACACAACTCCCCACTGTTGCACTGTCCTATTACATGTGCTGCACCACCCTCACGTACTTCTCTGCAACTCCTGGCTTCCTCATGCAATACCACAGTTCCCTTCCTGACAGCTTATCACATGCTTCCTTCAGATCCACAAAGACACAGCTCAAGTCCTTCTGACATTCCCATACTTCTCCAATCAACACTTTCAAAGCAAAATTCCCATCTGTAGTGCTCTTTTGTGGCATGAAGCTGCTCACTGATCATTACCTCACTCTTTAAGCTAACTTCAACAACACTTTTCCCCATAGCTATGGTATGGCTTACGAGTTTTATCCCTCTGTAGTTACTGCACACTTGTTCTTAAAAATCAGTACCACTTCTCCATTCTTCAGGCATCTTCTTACGCTCAAAGACTGTGTTAAGCCATCTGATAAAAACGTTCACTCTTTTACTTGACTATATCTGGATCAATTGTACTTATATGCATAGAGTTTTAAGCCAGGAAATTAAAACCTTTATAAATAAAATGAATAAAAATCCCTAGTGGGTCCACTGGGGGTAGGGACACCAATAGGTGTCAAACTTTAGATGGACTGGACTATGTCTTTGTCTAATGTCAAAGTGAAAAATGTGATTGATCTGTGGCTCAAAATTAATTGAATCATACCACCAAAAAAAGTTAACTTCCATTTATGCATATAAGAAGTTGGAAATATCTCATTTAAACTACAGCATGTTTTTATTAGAAAACAAATAAAGCTGTTAAAATGTTTCAAGTGACTTCTCAGCATTATTAACATATCCCACACTGTCTCACTCAAACACAGTTATCATACTAAGTATATAAAGTCCTGCTTTTGCCTTTTTGGGGAGTCATATTTTTTCTATCCAGATACAACCATCTATCCAAGATGACTCCTGCAACATATCAAGTATTGTAATTTGATTTGATCATAATATAAACTTTTTAGTGGGCATTAGAGTATTGTGAGTTACTCTGTGATTTCCATTCTCCCTCTGAAACAGCACAAAAGCATCTCTCCAAACACCTACTCGGATTTGTTTTTTCGGGAAGTCTGATCTTTTAAATGCTGGAGTAAACAGAACTACCTTAATTCCTGACAAGAATGTAATGGGAAATAATGGAAAATAAGTTAATACCTTATTTAAAAAGATTGTTTAATAAAAAAATATGTTATTAGGAGCACGCAATTCTGCACAGCACCCGTAAAAAACCCGTAATGAGAACTAGAAATCATACGTCTATGATTATATCGGTTACCAAAGAACCATCATAAGCTACTGTACTTATTGAAAATACATAATGCACGACATCTAATATGAGAGCGATTTGAAAGATGGTGATAATTGAATAGCCGCGATGCTAAAGCTAGTTAGCAGGCTAACACTAGTTTACATAGCAACCACCGTTGCTAACCACCTAGCGTTACATCTGAGCATCGGGACGAGGCTGACAGCGCAAACCTAATCACCCAGATTCCTACCATTGCTCACGGATCGTTTCCTTCCATGCTAGGACGGCTCTCATTTCCGCTCTTTAACTGAAAAAAGCACCAAAGGTTCTTTTTTCAACAGGTTGCTGCAGTTCGCTTGGTTATTTTTTCACTCTGTACCGTTTCTTGTAGCGAGTAGCTCGCAATGCGCAGACTCGCACTTGCTCGCTACTTCCTGCTTCTGTGTTGACATCAGAAAGTACTCGGGAAAGCAACGTCGAGACAAGAAGATGCACATCTAAAGCCTGATCAGTATTCATGTATGCTACACACGCCTTTGTTAACGTTTTAGCTCTTTGCTGTTGATCTGCTGCCCAGTAATGTCCAGCAATCCTTTTTTAATGTGGCTTTATGTGAGCAAACTGTAGAATGAGCAAACGCCTTGTATGTGTTGTTTTTGTAAATGTCCAAGTAAACATGCACGAACAAAACAAGAACTACAGGTTCATAGTTTAACAATAAAGCCAACGTTTTTTTATTCGTTGTCTTCACTTCAACAGGACTCCAAAGAAACTAAAAATGCATCCTACTAGATGAGATACTGAACTGGAGAGCAGTGTGGACATGAATCATCAAAGTCTCAAAGAAGGGGATATTTTGTGCACTTCTTCCGCATTGCCCCCTGGCTGGATCAGAGAAGTGAGGCAGCGGAAAGCAGGCAAAACAGCAGGCAAACTAGATGTCTACTTTACAAGGTGACTCAGTTTTGTTTTTGTGTTTTTTACAATCTTGTCTCTGTTGATGTTACCTGTAAGTTCACCACAGAAGCCCTTAGATCACCATCTAATTGATTTTCCTGTTGTTTAAGTCCCGAAGGGCAAAGGTTCCGGTCCAGAGCATCCCTACGCACTTTCCTCCTGGAAAGTGGAAGTGGTAACTTAGACATAAGCCTCTTTGATTTCACCACATCACAAGCACCCCCTTCCAAAGTAAAGCAGAGGAGAGGAAAGAAAAAGCCTTCAGAGGGACAGCAGGAGGAAACAGAAAATGGAACAGCAATTCTAGAGGCACCTCCAAATAAATCCAAACAAGCCTCTTCCTCCCTCAGAAGTGATACTAAAAGTGGAAAAGTGAAGACAGCAAACGACACAAATCATGTTGATGCTGACACTGAACTACAGAAGACTGCATGTGTATTAGAAGTGAATGTGAATGGAGACAAAACTACTGAAAGTTTAAATGGTTGCTTACAAGCTTTGACCTCAGAAAAAGTGGACAATGTACATCTGCAAAAGAGCCCCCAAAGAGGAGGCCAGCTGAGAGAGAAGTTACTCAGACTGGCTCCTTTAAGTAATCAACTAAACAAATCTATTCTTCAAGAGGACAAGAAAGCAGATTTGCAGCCTTCGGCCCCGATTTTGAATGTTGAACCTGCCGCTGAGAGCGAGAACAAAGGTGATGAAAGCAAAGGTGACAACACTCCTAATTCTGACCTGGAGGCTGGTGGTGACAGTCGTCAAGATGCTGAAGAACATGCGTTGTTACCTGATACCACTGATGGGAGCTGTACACCAGTTCGAGAATCCCAGAATAGTAAGTATGAGCCACACTGACTGACAATTTGTTAAAGTTTTTCATGTTTTTTTGAGCTTATCCAGTGCATTAGTGGTTATTTATGTCTCCCATTATCCTCTATATTTGCAGCTAGAAATGCATAAAAATCAAAGAAACCAAATGCCTTAATTGACACAAAACGTTACAAATAGAAAAAAAAATGCATGCATTTAGATCTGATAAAGAGGGGGCGAAGAATAGTGGTCCATTGTTAGAGAGTGCATCACATCATTAGTCTAAAGGAGGACAGAATTGATTGAGTAATCTTACTGCATTAAAGAAGCCATCATAGGACTCCACCACTTTGTGCTCAGCGAATGTATGATTTTCTTTATTGTGTCATTTTATGAGGTACTTAACTTTGGACCCGACCAAAAGATGTAAAGTAGCTTCACTCTTCTAATATCTATAAATGTTTCCTGTCTGCTTAGAGTCCAAAAGCTTGGAAGGCAAGCGGAAAACAAGTCCTTATTTCAGTGGGAAATCCAGCAGAGATGGTAATGTTTAATGCAGGAAACTGTGGATGCTTTTACATCGGACATGTAGATCAACATTCACGAAATAAATAAAGTGTGTAATTTAAAGAAACGTGCACTGTCCTCATTCAGGACTTAGCCCACCGAGGAGGAAGGCCTTCAAGAAGTGGACACCTCCCCGGTCTCCCTTCAACCTCGTACAGGAAACTCTTTTCCATGATCCCTGGAAGCTGCTGGTAGCCACAGTTTTTCTGAACAAAACCAGTGGTAGGATTCAACACACACATTTAATTATTCAGGATGTTGCATTAAACTTTGCTGAAGCCTGGCATTTATTTAATACAGGTAAAATGGCCATTCCAGTCCTGTGGCAGTTCTTTGAGCGTTATCCATCTGCAGAGGTGACCCGGCAGGCCGACTGGAAGCCCATGTCTGAACTTATGAAGCCACTTGGCCTGTATGAGCTTAGAGCCAAAACACTCATCCGCTTCTCAGGTGGATATTCTTGACTGCTAGTGGATTACAGCAGCAACTACCTTTGTGCAGAAGCAATGTCCATTTATTCATATATATTAATGTAATTTTATTGTCCATTTTTGGTAGTCTTTGCATGGTTTTAGTAAGAATATATGAAACAGAAAAAAAACCCTCACAACACCTTTTCTCTTGTGTAGATGAGTATCTAACTAAACAGTGGCGTTACCCTATTGAGTTGCACGGTATTGGAAAGTACGGCAACGATTCGTACAGGATCTTCTGTATCAATGAGTGGCGACAGGTGGGTATAATCCCAACTATTTTACTTCAGTTGCTTCCATTGCTCCCTCATTTATTTGCTCTAAATTCAAGTTTAATTTGTTGTTTTTTCGATTCTTGTGTCAAAGGTAAAACCTGATGATCATATGCTAAACAAGTACCATGCTTGGCTGTGGGAGAACCATGAGAAACTGGGAATCTGAAGGACCAGAAACAAGAAAATCACTTCTATCACACAAAGTGCAGTTACCCAACAATATAACAATATTAGCATTATGGAGGACTTGAAATTTTAATCGTGAATTTCTTCACTATTATGCAGTATTACGCTGGCTAGCCTTTAAGAACTTTTACTATGTGTTGAATAAAATGTTTTAAGCTGGTTAAAAGTTGAAATGATTCATGAGTGGTTTATTCAGCCTTCTCGCCTCAGGCTTTCTACATAGATGAGATCCAGGGACACCCCCTAAATATAGCTATTGGCACAGTCTAATCTTTCTTTATGAGTGCATTGATGCGTACCACTTAATGCAGCAGCTTTCTTTTGATAGGGTGTAACTTGATTCCCAAGGCAACTGTTGCCACCGCAAAACACTAAACACATATATCGGTACGTCAGTATAATCTCTAACTAGCACCACTATAGCAATCTGGTATATTTAAACTTGGATTTGTTTTTTTTGTGTGTTGTTGCATGTTGATTTAATGCTAAGGCAACTACACCTTTAAGAAGAAAAGTAGAGCTTTGAAAGTTTCGTTGGACTCCTCTGGTGTGCTAACAGAAGTGTGAAGTATAAGATGAAACTACGTAAGGAGAGATTTTGTTTTCCATTTGTTGTCCTTTTTTTAAGTATTACTGGTTTTATTTAAAAGTATCTCTTTTAATTCTTTAATTCTGTTCACTTCTTTATCCTCACAGCAGCCATCTCCATAGCTTCCACGCCAGTCTGTATTCCTCGCGCACCTCAAGGTCGCTGCCTGGTGGATACAACCGTAAAATTTCCCGTAATTTCGGACTCCGCACAGTTTTGGAAAAGCAATCAGGTAAGCAGAGATTTCTTAATTGTGTGGTTTATCATAGAAATAGATTGTTTAAAACAACAACAAGAAAAACCAAACCGATCCATAAATAGAGTATTCTTCTTAGAGTATTCCCAGATTGAACCCTTTACACCCACCATTTGTCCATAAACGGACTGTCAGTCTGGAGACACCAGATGTTCACCAGCACAACCACCAGAGGACACTGATCATGCAGAGAAAAGAGCATTACAGGTAGGTGCACTAAATCATTTCACTATCACTGAATCACTTGTGCCATTTCCCTCTTTCCTTTGAAGAGCTGACTTCAAAGACAATGACTGAAAGTTGCTGTGTCAGATATCATCAGGTATGGCGAAAACCCTTCTATGGAACCAGCAGTGAGAGAGAAGAGTACAGGTAAAATAGTGGAGGATACCATTGACCTTTTTATATTGAAAAACAACAACAATTGTTTCTGGCAAAGAAAAGCTGCTCTTTTTTTATCTCCGTAGGAAGGAGTTGCGAGAACAGCTGAAGAGACAAATAGAGGAGAAATGTGCAGCAATAAAGCTGCAGCTGGCCAATAAAATAAAGGAAGCGGAGACTCTCCGAGAAGCAGACCGCCTCGATCTGGCCAGTGAACGAGAGCAAAGGATCCAACACAGCAAAGCAATGGCGGTGTACAGAGATGAGAACAAGAGGGTACAGCCCCACACATACATTATATATCCACTATTAATGCTTTTGTGGTTATGGCCCCATCCGGTAGTGCCCTGGAAATGTTTCATCATGCTCTCAGGTTACAAAAATACAGCGAGTGTCTGAGTGTGGGTGGGGTTTTTTTTTTCCTTCTTGTTTCTTTCTCTGCTCGTGAACAGCTAATGGAGCAGAGCTGGAGGGACAGAGCACTAACACGTTCCCAGGAGGCCCTGAATGAAAGAGAGCTGCTGCGCCTCAACCCCATCAACTGGAGTGGAACACTGAAATAGGTCAAACCTCCCCAGGAGGTCAAAACGTCAGACTTAGGCCTCACTGTAGCATGTGTGTCAGGTGGAAAAATGGGATCCCAAATGTACAGTGCAGAATCACTAAAGGAACTAATTTTAAAACATTTTTGGATTACATACAGTCATGTGAAAAAATGGGTACACAGTCTTTCAATTCACAGTTTTTGTATCAGGTCATTAAAAAAAAACAAAATCTGGTCCTTGGCAAATCTTAAAATTAGGTCAATACAACCTACATATCATACAATGTCATCATTTATTTAAACACAAATTCAGACAAAATACAGAAGCAGTTTTAAAAGCTTAGTACACCCTTATTACTTCTATAGGAATTCAAAAAGTAAGCAACACTAGGTGAGCTGATCAGTTTCCTCTTACTTTATTGATAACCAGGAAGCTTATCAAAAACAATTTGAAGTCCACCAGTATATGGTGATAAAGAGTATTCAAAAGTTGAAAACACTCAATACCGTCACTAAGCTTTCCAGAAATGGATGTTCCAAGAAATTCACCCCAGGGTCCGACTGCATAACACTGAGGAGAACCTGTCAAAAACAAAAAGGCTCTGCCTGTCTCAGTTCTCATGTTAAATGTTAAAGTTCACAACAGTATAATAATAAAAAAATAAAAAAGACTGAACAGGTATGACTTGTTTGGAAGGGTGGCCACATGAAAACCAAACATCACTGGTACAAACACTTCATACCACCTGTCAAGCACCATGTTGTGCAGCCACAGGCAATTTGCAGTCATTGAATCAAGCGTGAACTCCTCTGTATGTCAAAGTACTCTAAAGTCAAATGTGAAGCCACCTGTTTGACAGCTAAAGTTAAGGTGAGTCATGTGAAAGGACAATGATCCCAAGCGCAGCAGCAAATAAACCGAATGGCTGAAAAAGAGAAGAATTAAGGTGTTGCAGTGGCCCACAGAAAGTCCAGACATTGAGAGAGCTGTGCATAAATAAATGCCTGCAAACCTCAATAATCTGCAGCAAAGACGTAATGAGTGGCACAAAATTCCTCTGACTGATAGAATCACACAGAAAAGCAGTTAGTTGAAGTTATTGCTGCTGAAGACGGTTTTACAAAGGATTCAATCAAAAAAGACTTCAGCATTTTTACTTTGTTTTTTGTCTGAGGTTGTAGTTACATGATTTATGGAGCAGATTATTTTGTATCATTACATCCTGTAAGTAAAACCTTAGAATTGAAAGAGCGTGTACTTTTTTAACATCACTACACAATAACAATGAGAACCTTTCTAATAAAAAGAAATTAACTAATGCCAAGAGTTTATCTCAATGATGAACTACTCCCGATTTCCCTGTCATTTATAATATGATGCAAACATGGAACTCTGACAAAGATCAAATAAATAAATAAACAAAAACAACAAGAGTGCCAGACTTTTTATTGTAATGCAAACATCGCTAATGAATTTTGACTCTGGACAACATTCCACACTCGGAAAATAATCAAGCATACCTTAAAATAAAAATAAATAGATAATTGGACGGATAAAAAGTGACGCTCTATTGAGTGGCAATCCAACATGATGCTAATGTATCTCCCAGAACTACAATTTAACTCTTAAAAATATATGCTGATAGCACACACACACAAGTATAAAGGAAATATTAATAAAATATGACAACATAAATATAACTTCAAAATAAAGGCAACACAAAACGCTTGTATGTAGAATAGAGCTGGATCCTGTTCCAGGAGGTTTAGAAAACTGAGTTTAAAAATGAACTCAGAGTTGTTTATCTCTGAAATAGGCAACTTTGAAGTTTACCGCAAGTTCATTTAACTCTGATGACAATAACCCCAAGTTAAACGCACACATGAGTAGAAAAAGAAAGTAACCGTCAGTTACACTCTGATAATGCAATATTCCTATTCATGTGGATCTGCACAGCATTTTTATCCGTTGTTTTCAAGTGTTACCTTTTGAGAAAGTGCCTAACTGGTTCTGCAGGGCATGCGCTGGCATGTACCCAGTGAAGGGCACGCCATCACTGGGTACATGATCAAATGATAGAAGGTACCACAAAGAAAATCAAGCAGCAGTATAATTTGTTGTTTCTTTGCTAGATTTATTTTTCAGTTTTGCACAGAGTAAAAATACGGTGCAAAGTGAGACAGTATGTGTGTGTCATAACTGTCAGATATTACATTAAAAAAAATTTTTTAAAAATGGTATCCCAATCTATGGATATGTCCAAACTGAAACTGAGAAACTCTTCCCAGACAGCTAAAATAACTGAAATAAAACTGAAACAAATAAGCTTAACTTGTTCCTTGTTGTATTTACTTAGTTGAAACTATATTTAGCTTGTTTATGCTTAATGATGACTCTGTAAAAAGGCACAATTTACTGTCTCTTACACTAAATCAGAAAATGTTAGACTATTCAGCATTGCTGATGGATCCACTTCTGGTCACTACTGCTATCTGGGTACACGCAGCGAGACTGGTTTGGGCCATTTTCAGTGGAAAATATGTTCAGGTTCAGACACCAAACTTTAGAAACTGTCTTTCAAAACGATGACAAAATTTCATGACCGAACAACAATATGTGGAGCAAGTCGCTTTAAAATATGTTTAATTGCATTTTAGTGCCCTTTAAAGTCCTTGCAGCCTCATTTTCACTTGATTACAACATGACAAATGTGATCATTAACCAGCATCATGTGTCTAAAGCTTTATACAGATTAAAATGATTTAAACAATAAACACCCATTGTTTTAGGAACATTCAGTGGAGTTCAGACAGGTTGACAGCTACAGATTTTATTCTGACGTCTGCAGGATAATTTGCTTGGCTCTGACCTTTAACGGTGGCCTTTTGAATGAGGAAATGAAAAGTAGTTAACTCTATTTCTAGAACTGAAAAAACGTTTCTCGGGGTTAACAAACTCAGCACTGTTGGCTTAACCTGCTTCCTGTAACAGGATCCTGGTACTTAAATAAGTAATGTTGGTGACCCAGCAGCTATTAAAAAGTTATCTTCCATGCCAAGTAGGACAAATAAATACATAGGGTGCTGTATCTTTCATTTCCAATCCTATTTATCATGCATTATTATTACAAAGAATTATTCTGGGACAAAGAGGTAAAAAGTTATTCTGTGAACATAAATAAATGGCTGTTCTTAATGTAAATATCCCAGAGTTTTATGAGTGCTTCACTGGGGGAATTTGGGAAATTGTGATATCTCCATCCTACCCAATGTCCCACAGCGGTAAGTTCAAGTGCATTAGTAACCTGACACACTCACAACTCATGTGCCATTCAAACTATGGGAGGGAGGGAGAGCTGAAATGGGGAAAACGCAGATGGACTTCATGAATAGAGTAGATGAAAAAAAAAAAAATCTTTTCAAGAGAGACAAAGACCAGACATCATATCCAAATGCATAAGATTTTCACAATCAGTAGTGGTCTTTATGTCACCCTTGTTCCCAACACAGCTGAGGTAGGGAAGTAAGTTCAGTTCCTTTCCATCAGTGCAGTGATGCTTCGTTACTCCTCTTAAAGCTTCATGGCTTCATGTTCTTTAAGTTCTCCCTTCTTCCCGTGTTATGCAACTCATACACATAAATTAACCCACGCCCTTTAAATTAATTCCCCAGTCACAAGTAAATCCCTGAAAATCTAGCATTGCAGAGCTAGTTTCTTGCCTCAAACTGATTCCTATTTACCCAAATTGACCCGTCTTTTTATTCAAGCTACGGTCCAATGCAGTCTAGCGTCCCTTCAGAAATCCGTCCAGCATGTAGTCTCCCTTCTCAGTCAGCCAGTATCCAGCCATAGCAGCCACACCTCCAATGAAAATAGCTGTGAAGACCATGTCACCCTTGGCAGCAAGGGTGGCTAGGGCACAGATTACCACTCCAAAGAACATCTGTTGCAGTACAAGGACCTCATCATCTGTCATATCGTCAAAGAGTCCCTTCTCTGGGCCAGCTGAAGAGGTAAAAGGAAAAGAAACCAAGAGGTCTGAAAAGCTGTACGCTGCATGTGTGTGTTTGCATATTCCTTATGGCTTTTTCTTACCAGGAGGTTTATTTTCAACACAGATGCTGTCTCTTCTGATAAAGCCATTAGCACAGTCACAGTGGAAGGAGCCCTCCTCATTTATACAGGCCTCATTGAGTCCCGGGCATGCTATGGCACGTTCACTACATTCATCTATATCTGTAAGAGGACACAAAGAAAACAAGTTTAAACACATCAGGAAAAGAGAAAAGGAAACTGATGTTGAGATTCAGTAGCCAGTTTGTGTATACATACCAAGACACTTCGCTCCCTTCAGTCTGTAGCCACGCGCACATTTTTTACAGCGGGCAGGACCACTACCCATGCAGCCCACACATGCCTGGTCACATCCTACAAAACGCCAGAAATGCAGTGGTCAGCATTACATATTGCTATAATAAAGATTTTTTCACCTGGAATTCCACTGCACATTTATTAAGTCATTTTACTGTAAAAGTAATGAGGCTTTGTTACCATACTTGATAAATATCTTCGCCCTTTTTTCAGTTTTTTCTTACTACTTAAAATAACTTGTAGTCAACAAGTGAGGTTAGATCAAATAAATTACAATTACAATATTACAATTGTAACCTCTTTGGGAATCCCACAAATTCCTTTGTGGAAGAAAAACTCTGTCCTACACCACCTAAAGAGAAACAACAACTAACCAGTAACTGGACTAAACTGTTTTGCATTTCATATTCAAATTAAGATGCGTTTGCAAGGTGCAGTCACCAGCCACAATGTCAGGTACACCCATTTAACTGCTTATTAACACAAATCTCTACCAATTACATGGCAGCGACTCATTTCAAGCATGCAAACAAGTTTAACCAAAGCATCAGAATGGATATGAAAGGTGATTTAAGTGACTTTGAATGTGGCATGGATATTGACGCCAGCCTGGCTATGAGTACTTTACTGATCTACTAGCATCTTCCTACACAACCATGTTTACAAAGAATGGTCCAAGAGAAGAGAAAATATGAGTGACAGTTCTCTGGATGAAAATGTCTTGCTGATGCCAAAAGTCAGAAGACAATGGCTGGAATACTTTGAGCTGAAAGGAAGCTAACAAGTCACTCAAATACTCACTAATTCCAACCATCTCTGAACTCACAACACATCAGACCTTGAACTAGATGGGCTACAGCAGCAAAAGACCACACCTGGTGCCACTGCTGTCAGCTGAGAATGAAAATCCAGACTGCAATTCACACAGCCTCTCCAAAGTTGGTCAACATAAGATTAGAAAAAGGCTGCCTGGTCTGATGAGACTCAATTTTTGCTGTGACATTTGAATGCAAGGACTAGATTTGGCATAAACAGCATGAAAACATGGATCTATGCTGCCTTGTACCACTGGCTCAGGCCGCTGGTGGTGTAATGGCAAGGGGAATATTTTCATGGATCACTTTGGGCCTGTGCATCGAGCATCGTTTCAATAGGATAAAGCACGATGTTACAAACACGTCAGTGAGTTAGCGGTACTCAAATAGCCTCCACAGGCATCAACCCAAAAGAACAACTATGGAATGTGGTGGAATGTGAGATTCCCATCAGTCATTTTAATCTGACAAATCTACAGCAACTGCATGATGCTAGCGTGAGAATATGGACCAAAATATCTGATGAACGTTTCAATGGAACTTGTTGACTTTTTGACATGAAAAATTAAGGCAGTTTTGAAGGCAAAAGGGGGTCCAACTCATTAAGAGCAAAGTATAACTATCAAGTGGCCAATGAGTGCATGTCTTTATGCAGTTTGATTTAAACATTCCTTGAACTGTGAGAAGTAGCATACAATAACACCACTCACATTTTGTGATGAGACTTACTAAAACTGTATTATCACATATTCTCCAGATGTAACTAAAAACCTGCCTCTTATTACAGCAGCACCACAAAATATGCACGATTTAATAAGTTCCAGGAAAATGAAAATAGTAACTAGAGAAAAGAGCATACCTCTGCATTCATATGATCCATCTGTGTTGTGACAGTAGGTGTTAGAGGGGCAACGAGCCAGCTCTGTACCGCATTCATCGATGTCTAGGAGACATACAAGCCATGTCAAACAACAGAAAGCTGGCACCGAATCACTGAATTGCTATTGAGTGACCTCTAAAGTCACAAACTCACCAACACATTTGTTGTCATGAAGGATCCAGCCGGGTTTGCAGTCCAGACATTTGTAGTCCTGCGGCCCTGAGCATTTCTTGCATGAGTGGTAGCAGGCTACAAAGGATGAAAGACACAGTCACAGGGTGAGGGTCAAGTTTAGATGACCCCAGGCAGGATTTAACAGTGTGGAAACCATTATCTGAATCTGTGGCACCTGCACAGGCTGCTATGCTGTTATTGGAGCTTTTCTCTCTGTAGTAACCATCAGCACAGCTTTGGCAAAGATGGCCTGAGTACCCGGGATCACAGACACACTCTCCATCTCCCAGGCGAGTACCCTCCCCTTCACAGCGGCCCAGACCTCCACATGTGCCACCGGGTCCAGATGGACACTCTGTATGGGATAAGCCGGATATCAGTGCTACACTTTAAACCTACAATTAACATGATTCTGATTATCATCACTGAGTTCCATGTGTTTTTAATATTTTTTGGACCGACTAGGTTGTCAGTGTTGACATAAGGCAGCTTGTGTTTAAAGCCACACCTTTGCAGTCAGGTCCAAAGTGTCCAGGTGGACAGCAGAGTCTCAGCTCCTCTATACACAGCCACTCAAACAGGTCTGGTGCTTCCTGCTGTCTGTAGGATGTACAGATCACATCAGTTAGGAAGTTAAGACAGGGGCATGATAAAAATAAAAAAAAACTCAGCATAACCTAATTACACAGGAGAAACTGACGGTGCCACCTACACACTCTACAGACAACTTATTCTTTTAAATTACATTTCAAAATGTGCGTCAGAAGACCTTTTCCTGCTGATCTAATTCATCTCAATTTAACACGGGTTCATGCATGAAAGCAGCTTTTTTTACCTGTGGAACCACCATGTCTCCACTTGGTCCTCTATCTGCTCCAGCAGTCGATTACATTCAAAATCTGTTTTCTCACAAGCAGATTCTACTATCTCTAGTAGGCGAGTTTCACTGGAACACAAGTTTGGACAGAGACAGCAACATAGTCATGAAGTAAGAACACCCTACCCCTTAAATATGATTTAACCCCACCTTTTCCCGGTAGAAAACTTTTGGCAAATATATATATTACACAAACTATCATATAAATATGCAGAGGACAGGATGTCTAGTAATATAAGTTATTATGTGAATTTAATTTAGCAAAAAGATGGAACTAGTCGTATTAGACATTGTGAATGTATGAGCAGGTATTTGCTAAGTACTCCAACAAAAATTTAGTCTTACCTGGTTGCATATTTAGCCAGCTTCTCCTCCTCCCAGGCAGTGTTTCCTCCCCCAAAGTTCTTATTGGCTGTTCTCTCCAAGCCCTAGAAAGAGTAAAAGTTAGGGTCCTAAAAACATTCTTTTTAAGGTTTGCTCAAAGAAGACAAGCAAGCATTGACAGTTTCTTTGGATACAAGGACTACCTTAATGAAACTCTCAGTGAGTTTTTTGCAGGTTTGGCACGGTGCTGTCTGGACTCTCACCACAGAGAGCTCTGAGAGAAGCACCAGAGCAGGCAGGAACGGCCAGGCCCACCACATGATCCTATAGACAGCATGCATACAAACAAACGCACAAACAATTAATGTTTAAAAAAAAAGAAACAATCTTTTTTTTTTTTTTTTACAAGTTTTGTTTAAACATCATAGCAAGTGTCATCAAATGCACCTACACTTCCAGAAAAAACTGTGTTTCTAGAGATCTGATCACAACTATGTGGTGGACAATACAAAAGAAACTGTAATACGAACCCATAGCTGTGCAAAACGCACTAAAATTCTTCTTCTTGCTTCCTTTATGAATCAGCATGTCTTCTTCTTCTTTCTTCACTATATCCATGAACCTCCTCTGAGCTCTTCCTCTTTTCATTCTGCCTGGCAACTCCATATTCACCATCCTTTGCCTAATATATCCACTATCCACCTGCATATGACCAAATCATCACAGTTTGCCTCTCTAACTTTGTCTTCAAACAGCTCAACCTGAGCTGACCCTCTGATTTAATTTCAAATCTTGTGCATTCTGGTCACTCTTGATGAATATCTTAACATTTTTAACCTCCAGCTCTGGCTTCTGTTTTATTTATTTTTTATTAGGGCTACCATCTGCAAACCTTATGTCACAGGAAGTCTCATTACCATCTTGTAAACCTTCTCTTTCACTTTTATGGTTATCCTTATTTCACAAGTTACCCCTGACTCCACCCTGCCGGCACTGTCCTCTTCGTCGCTCTTGCATACTGTGTACTTACTTTGGATGGTTGAGCAGTATTGACGAGTTGACAGGTATTTGTCTTTCATTCCTCTTCTCTCCAGATCATACCTTCACCTCTTCCAATTCTCTTCCACCTGCTTGCAACTACTGCTACAAATCACACTGCCGTATGCAAAATTAGTCCACGAAGACTCCTGTCTGACCTAAGCTGTCAATCTGTTTATCAGCACTACAAACAAGAAGGTTTTTTACAGCTGATCTCTGATATAATCACACTGCCACCTTGAACCCATCTTTCACTCCAGCTATGCACCTCATCGCTACCTGACTGCTTTACATGTTTTCCCCATGCTCCCCACACAGTATGTTTGTGATGGTTGACTTTTGAAGATTGTAGTGAGTGATTCAATGCCATATTATTATGATATTACTTAAATAGCACTAGCACGGCTACATTGCAGTCATATTGTGCAAACCTCCAAGCACCTTCACCACACTAGTGTAGCTAAAATAAAATATTGTAAGACTCTTTTTCTGATCTACAAATAGCTGCATAAGTGCTGACTAAAACCAGAAGGAAAGAACTAGCATGCTTATACTAAAGCCAAGGGTGCCTGGAAGCTTAGTTTTGATTTACATTTTTATTTGTTAACATGACAGTAACAGGTTATGCACTGGAAAATGTCTCAGAAATTATATTGGTTTATGAAACAGGAAAGCCTCTCAGGTTGTTTGCTTCTCATTATTGCGCCACAAAGCAGAAATAAAACAAGTTGATGCTGCTTTCATCAGGTATGATTCAAGAAGCTGGAGTAGCCTTTCCACAAGATGTTAAAGAAGCTGGAAATACTCCTGTCCTTTATTTTATAATTCATTTATGTTATCATTTATGACTCATTTTCTAATATGCATAAATATTAACTGTACATTTGATATTTTACCGAGTGTAAGAAGTGTGTGCGTGTGCGTGGTGGGATTAATCCTCTCCATTTTTTTAAAAATTTACTTTAAACTGTCCAAAGTACCCATCTTTATTTTTTTTTCCGAATGTATCTCAGCCTTCACTTCCTAGGTTTTTGATATAAAAATCTGGTTTCATTAAATGCAGTCCAAATTAGATCTGTGAACAGTATGAATTTTTGTTAGACTTGTTAAAAGCTAGTCTTTAAAACAAGCAGCTTTAGCCTGCCTTAGCTTCATCGTTAGCCTGGTTAGCTCAGCATCAGCACCACCAATTAGCCGACTAGCAGCTGGCTAAGGGCAGTAGTTAGCTGCTAACTTAAGCTAACGCTGTGTCTATCATAGTCTGCTTATCTGTCCGGTGTGTCTTTAAAGATTGTTGATATCGGTTACCATATCCTCCTTAGGCTATTTAGCGTTAAATATGGACTAACTAAGCCGCATTAATGCAGCCAATTTGAAATTAGCTTCAGGCTTTATTGATGATCCAGGTCTTACCTTGCTGAGAAGCCACCACCTCCTTTGCTGCTTTCGCTGTGCCACTGATGATGATGATGATGATTGTCGGATTCCCCGGTGATTCAGGTTCATAAAAATGCAGGCAGAGCTTCACATTTTGGACATCCACTTCACGTTGAACGCTTCAGTCGTGTCATTTTAGCAGTTGTTTGCTTTGCTAGCTAATGCTGTTAGTGCTCACAACGCAACAGAGGAGCTTTAGTACCGTAGTGCTGGGCTGCAGTGAGATGAATGAATGAGTGAACAGCTTCCAGTCGCTTCTCTGTTTTCCATAAGGAGGAACCACCCAAACCTTCTGGGATTTAAACAATCAACCAATCATTCAGCATCCAGCTTTACATAAGTCAGTGCTGCATCGTCCAAGTATGAAACAGTATGTAAACATTTAAGACTAACTCTTTAAATGTTTCATTCTGATCATATTCTGTGCCGTCATGCTATGGTTCAGGTCCATTTTGACCCGACCATGAATTCCCTCATAATACATTTCTAAAACTCATTTTCAAGTACAGATCGAATTATAGTGTTTAAATAGTAATCGGTTCAATTCAATTTATATTGCGCCAAATCACAACAGCAGTCACACTGAGGCGCTTCTTATTGGGCTTTATAATACAGAGAAAAACCCCCAAAATTTAACAACCCTCTTAACATGAAGTAACTAACTATGTGCATATTAGTATGTGCATATTAGTATTGTACAGCACTTTATATAGCACTTTAAAAACACTTTAAAAACACACCTGGTAGACCAAAGTGCTATATAAATAAATAAATGATAAATGTTGATGATGATAATCTCAAGCAGAGCCAGGCTCAGGGGAGGGCAGCCAGAAGTGGTTGTGGGTGAACGGGAGCAGGACAGGATAAAAGACAAACCATGGAAGAGAGCCAGAGATAATGCATTCATGCAGAGTGGTGTATAAACACATGAGTGAGTAAAAGAGGTAAGTGAAAAAGAAACACTCAGCACATCATGACCCGGAGCCTAGGCCTATTGCAGGTAAGATTCAGTGTCACTTGATCCAGCCTTAACTATATGCTTTATCAAAATGGAAAGTTTTGAGCCTAATCTTAAAGGTGGAGAGGGTGTCATAAAGATCCTCATAACTAGCATTTATAATTATCAATAAATATTAAATAAATGCAGATCGGCTCTGCCTTGTTTCTTTTGAGCTTGATTTCAATCTCTGTTAGTTTAATCATATCTTTTAAAAAGATATATTATATTTTGCTATTGTTAGATTATTTTCTTACAGTGTGATTATTTGTGCTTGCAGATGCAAAGTACACAGGCACAAATACCCAGTTAGGCACATAATGCATTCACATTTATCTACTCCTTGAGTGGTCTTACTGACACTTAAAACACTTTATCTACCTCTCATGCAATTAACCTACAATGTATGCCTCTGGACTGTGGAAGAAAGCCCACTCCAGACACTGTGGAGGTGGTGTGAAAGGCCTCAGCTAGGATTTGAACCAGGAAACCTGCTGTGACCACTCTATCACCATGCCGGGCTTGACTCTTAACTACATAATTAAAGCTTAGATGCATTTAGGCCCCCTAACTGATGATGATAATAATAACATGTTAAAAAAAAACCATTATTTAATAAAAACTGTTGTTGTAATGTGTTGTTTTTTTTATTCTTAAAGCTTTCACAGATATGCATGTTAAACAAATGTCAACGAGCTTATTCTGCAAATGCAAGGAAGCTTATTCTTTTGATGCCACAAAGACATACCAACATTAGCTTTTTATTTAAGACAACAAGAAAAAACGAAAACAGTATAAAACAAAATGAACATGCCAAGACAAACTGGTTAAATATATTTACATATATAAAGTCAGAAACACAACATTTTTTCTTCATTACTTTCAGCGCATTGATATACAGTTATACAGAACTGGTATTGGGGGGGGGGGGGGGGTAAATCCTCATTAGCAGCTATCGGAAATGTTAAAACAAAGGTAGAGAAACAGAGTTCACTCACTTTTTTCCCCGTCTGCTCTGCCAGTTATTACTCACCGTGCTCAATAAAGACATGTAATAGCATGTATAAGTTGATGATGATGAACACATTTTATGAATAATCAATGCAGAAATTCCAGTTGTTCTTAACAGTCTGCAAAATTGCCAAAATACATGCATGTCAATCTCCAAAAATGGGACAGGTGCTGCAGATTTTTTTCATGAACTTCACAAACTTTTACTTGCAGTAGTAGTACAAGTGTGTAGTTGTGTCATAGAAACAGAAGTGTGTGCACACAGTGAGTTTTTCTCCACACTTTACTCTCATTTTGTAGCCCTCCTGAGCCATGCTACTTTTCAAAAATAGTCATCACAGACCTTTGGATCTGCTGTCACCTTTTTCTTTGGAAGTGGTGATATTTTATTGTTTTCCTAGAGCAGGGCTGATTTTTTTTTTAATGCCTCCTTTTCAACAGGCTAGGATTCCAGAGTTTTTCCTGAAATAAAGAAGCTGAAGTAGCAAAGGTAATGATGAGCAACCGTTCAGATTGTGTCATTACTGTTTGCTCATCCCAAAACTGAACCATAGCTGTCCTGTCGCATTGTCAGGCCCACTCCATTTCACTGCCCTGCAGGTCCGTGTCAGGGCTGGATGGGGGTGTGATAAGACTGGGCTGCAATGGCACAGTTTCCCCAGAGTCTTCCCCTCCTACGGCAACACAACTCTGATGCACTCCCACAAGGCGTAATACATTTGACCCTGTTGTGAATGCTGACAGTCTCTGGGCTAGAGCCCGTGATGCCATCCTGAGCCCCCCTGCTCTTTTCCGTCTGGCTGATGCAGTAGCTACTTGACGAGCTCCAGCCAGTTCAGTCAGGAAACCCAGGCTCTGGGATGGAAGGCTGTAGACATGCAGGCCTCGGAAAAGTTCTGGCAGCGGTCGGAAACTACCTGGGGGCTCAGGTGGGAGGGATTCAAATTGCACCAGCATAAACCGTTCGCCAGCGCGGCCCTGTAAGTAGTCTGCTAGAACACAGCTCAGTGAAGCACTGAAAACATCTGCACAGCGAGAAGACCCAGGGTAATCTCTTCCTGCCTCTTCTTCTTTCACATGTCTTTTCCTCTCTGAGCGCTGAGCTCCCCATTCTTCAGCTTTTGTCCAGGAGGCCTGGGTTAGGACTAGCACCACTTTGCCCCCTTGCCTTTGTAGCTGATCAAGTTGTGAGTGGAGCCACGGCACAGGTCCCAGCATGCTGAGCTCAGCGTGGCTCCACAGGTCTAGAGATACACTAAAGCCCAGTGATTGGAGAGATGAGCCCAAATGACACAACAGCTCTGGCAGGCAAGGGTTATCATCAGGTGGGTACAGCAACACAACATGAACACCGCCCACAGCCCCTGAAATAGCAGATGTCAATGGCTACAATCAGTATTTGATCAAAGAAATCTACAGAGAATTATCACTCAAATCAAGATTATGGCATAAAAGTCAAGTAAGCTTGGAAACAAAAACATGAAAACACGGAATGTGGAAATACTGGTGGCCCAGTGTGAAATTAACATCAGGCTTTCTCCTACCTTTAACGTCTTCGTCTTTCAGCCACTTCCAAACATAGCCTGTATGGAAAACAAAGATACCTTTAAGATATTTTCTAAGAACACTTATTCAATTATTCTGTTTTTCAGTGACACTCGAACAGGAAACTGACCTTGTAGAATCCCTTGTATTAAATACGCTCCCAGTATTGCTAAACACACGAGTAGTAATCCAATGATGAGCACCACACTCCATCGCAATCGAGATGCTGTAAAAATGTGAAAATATGAAACTTTAATAAAGAAATGGAATGTTATTTTTTTTTAAAAGGTCACTATGTAGTTGGTTATTTGTTACATAGTAATGAAAGAAAGTGGGATTTTTTAGATGTTGCTTGAAAAAAATAAATTATTCCATTAATCTAATAGATAGTAATGCAGTCTTACTGGCAAACGGACACTGGGGCTCTAAGAGTGATTTTGTCCCGTTAATCTTCATCTAAAAAAATAAAGGCAGACGTTTATGTTAGCACAGTCTGTATAGTGATAAATGCATTCACAGTTTCATGAATAATTTTATGTTTGATCACCTGAACACATAGCAGAGGGTGAGATGGCACATCGAACTCTCCGGTTTGCTGAAGGGTTCAAAGAAAAGTCATAGTCAATCACAGCGAATAAAGAGCGATAAAGAAAAAAGAGAAGATTCATCACCGATCCTTTTGACTTCAGTGAACCATCATAACAGAACAAAATGCAGCACGTCATTCAAATCAACAAATGCAACTGACAGAGGCTCTTCACGCATCACCTGACTTGCATTTTTCTTTTCTGTTGTTCGTTTGCAGCCAGTTGAAAAAACTTTTGTAAAAGCTTTGTTCCCACACATTGGGGCACTGGATGATGCGCAGACATTAAATATTTCAAGGATTAAAAGAAACAAAACAAAAATAGAAAGTCTGCATTCTCAAGACATTTATAAAACCTCTGTTACAAATTGTTTTTCATCTAGTTCTGATATTGTAAGATCACCGCTCATGAATGTGATCTCTTTTATGTGATCATGATAAAAGAAAGCGTCATGGCTTCACGTTCCCCATGGTTCTGCTTTTTAAGCATGTCTAAATTTCTGGTGTGTTTAAATTAACCTTCTGGTAATTTATTGGCTAATCCAGTCATTTTAAACATTCTAGTTTAAAACTGTATTTTTAGAGTTGAATTAACCCCCCCAAACTGAATTAAGCCTTAAAACTTCATGTTGAGACTTCAAATTCTAGTACAACTGAATATCTATTTAAATGTTGGACACATTCTTTCTTTTCTTTGTTTTTTCTTGAGGTGAATCAAGCTTGGAACTGTTTCGCCATTCTTCTGTAGCTATCTGTTTGTCTGAGTTATGTAAAAGGGCAGAGGATGGTTTGAACTGAGTGACTCATGACAGAGATATTTCAAGGCAAACAAGGCAGCTCTGTATGAAGTTAAGCCCAAAATGAGGAAGATGGTCAGAAATAAGACTCCAGTTATTAAAATAATCTTAACTGACTGTTTGCTGTCTGCTTCATGTCTGGTTTGTTACATTTGGAAGAAGAAGAAGAAAAAAATCCTATTTGCTTCTTTGTTTCTGCGTTTTTCTGACTATAAGGTTTAAAGTTAATTTTTGGTGCTAACAATGCATTGTTTTTCTGGAGACACAGTGAAAAGAACATATTGACTCATAGCAGTCATTTCCAAAATTTTAACATAGTGGCTCATGAAAACTACATTACATCACACTCAGGATTTTTGCTGTTTTTACCAAGTATCTGTTGCTTCGTTCATCCCATTTAGCTTGTAGTCTCTGTCTGGAACCCATCACCTCTTCACACTGGCCTCCCACCTGGCCTTTCTTGCACAGCCACACCTCTGCTTCCAGTATACACGGCGCACTTACATTCCAGATCAGCCCTATGCCACCATTCCTCAGCTGAGACTCCACCAAAGTTGCAGACACACTGTGCTGCATATTTTCGAGTGCACCTAAAAAAAAAATGTCTGAAAATTAATGTCCCATGCAAATGTCTTCTGAAGTTGATGTCAGGCAACACCATTTACCTTCATTGTTTTTGAAAGGGCAGATTTGTGTTCTTAATGATCCCTTCCACCATGCCTGTAAATAATTTTATATTTATTATATTATATATATTTATGTATTTTCCAATAGCTTAGCTGTCACTTAATATTTTAGCTTACCTGGAAGCACAGGCATGGTGCAACAAAGTCTGATGGTATGACCACCTCATCCTTCTCTTTGGGCTGTCAAAGATGAAAACAAAGTTAAACAAACAAATAAACATGCATGATGCTGATTTTGCATTACCAGAACAAAATATTGACCCACCCATTCACGCTGTTCTGCAGGAATTTTATCCCAAACCATCTGCCATGTGATTGCATCTCCTTGTCTGACATCAGCTTTTACAAGTTGCAGTTTGACATTCCTCCCCTGATCTTTCACACAGAGTCTGGGACCTTAGTTTCAATAGTCATAAATTAGAACTTGGCTGGATCAACTCACTCAATGGTGTAAAATCGTTTTTACCAGGCCTGCATTTTACTCCTGGGTTTTGAAAGTGTCTTACCACATTCCTTTATAGTTCCGTTAGGCTCCTCATCACAAACTGAAAAACAGAGGGTGTAGTAAATGTTGGGTAACACTGCTCTACAATTCATCATATTTTTGCTCCCATTAACTTAAACTCACCATTTTTTAAAGAGGGAAGTGTCATATTTTGACTCTTTGAGTCTACACTGACCATAACAGGACTGCCGAACTGCACTTTTTCTCTCAACAGCAGCTGGAAGTGCAGGAAATATGTAGTAAACTTTAAAACATTTAATTGTATATAGTAAAGCTCTTAGATTGAGTTTATGAGAATGCAGAGAGTCTATTCATAATGGAGAAAGCATTCATATCTGTTACTTAGGCAGAAACATAAAAATAGAACAGTTTAAAACAACATCCTTAATTGAATATTCAACTCAAGTGAAGCGCAAAGTACAAATGAGGTGTGATCCCCCCCCCCCAAAAAAAATAGTGCACTTGTTAAGCAACAAAATATCTCTAATTAATGGTTGATAGTCTGAGCTCCAAAAGAGCAACATGGGCCCGCCCTCTTGTGGGCTCCAGGAGGTGTGGGGTTGTGCCGTGTCTGGGGGTTTGTGTTTTTTAATTTGTGTGCGAGTTCTGGTTTCTGTCTGCTATGTTTGCTTGCATTATGATTTTATTACTCTTACTTTAGTTTATTGTACAGGTTTGAATTTACTTTGTTTTTAGTACTTGTTGGTTTAATTCTAGTTACTGTTTGTATTTCATAAGTTTGCTGCACCCTTCAGTGCCTCATTTGTCACTGTTTAAATTAGTTGCTGTCATGTCTTGTTACCCTCCGTGTTTAACTGATTACTTCATATGTCTATAAATACCCCTAGCCTTCTGTTTAATCTTTGTATTAATATCCTCTTCATGCTTGTTTCCAGTTATTTATTTAACAAGCAACTTCCTTATAGAATTTTGCAACAACCTAAAAAAAAAAAAAAAAAGTGTGACGTGTTATTTATTCCCTGTTATTTGAGGCGCAATTCCAATCTATGCTTACTTGTGCTACTATCTGGACTGGAACCGAAGAAGGAAAACCTAAACTCAGACGTTCGAAACATGAAAAATTGACACTATTTTGCCATGTTTAATAGTTAAGAGTTTGTTGTTTGAATGATTATGACATTTTAAATGTCTCTTTCATGTAGTGAAACAAAACAAATATAGTCTCCAACCCCACAGATTACTTAATTAATCCAGAATAAAAACAAATCAGACAATAAATAATACCTTCACTCTTTCCTAATGTTACCTTATATGTCGACTTGCCAACAGTGGTGTTGCTTTGTTTAAAATAGAGTATCTTCCAACAGTCTAACGTTCCCGGGACACTAAAATGCACTTTCACAAAATCTGTAATATAGAGAAAAATGTCATGGAAAAATATGTTACATTTTTTGTGCTCGAAGCACGTGATTCTAACTGCTAACAAACTCAAACTTTGTTCTGCTGTTTGACACACACACCTTCTTTTTCGCCGTCATCACCCGACTCCTCAGAAACATCCGTCACGATACCCATTTCGTCAGCTTGGATCATCATCATGTCAGCAACATTAAATACAACATTAGTTCATGACATGTGACAGGTTAACAAGCTCGACAGCTATGATAAGAATGCAGGAAAACATTTTAACATTAAGAGCGTCGCCATCAAATATGATGCTTGACATCATTATGAAATGTGCGTCCCAGTAGTCTCTCAAAGTGATTTATGGCAAAGCTACCTTGTAGAGTGATGGTGACTTGAAGGCAAAGACTGCAGTTCTGTTTGTTTGAACAGCAGAGAACACTTTCGAGCTGCAACTGTGTAACGTCAACTTTACTGTATGGATCAGGGAAGTCATCAGAAAACGGAGCTGTGAAAACAAGAGCGTTTCTGCTTTAGACAAAAAGGTTTATTTGGGATTGAGATGATAACAGTGAGAGTGGATGTGCAAGTACTGATCATGCTGCTACCTTGATCCACATGGCAGTCAGTCAAACCCTGAAGAAAGAATAAAATGTGAACGAGAGTTGAATGAATCACATCTAAAAAGGTACCACTGATGTCAACAATTGTAAGTAAAATGTCTGGTAAATAGAGACATATCCTGCATATTTTTTAAAAACTAAGTTAAACGCTTTCAATTTATCACACAACTGTAGTGAGCAGCTTCAGATATTTGAAAGCCTGATTCCAAATATTGTTATAATAACATTTCGGTTATTTAAAAAAAACAAAAACTTTATGCATTTATATTTCCTTTGTTCTGTCTATTTTTATTGTTATTACTTTTCTCTTGCAGTAGTAGTAGAGTAATTCTTCTACAATATCTTGCTTCCCCTTGTTTTGGCTGCTCCCAAAGTACTGTACCTGAGTTCCTCCTTTGATGTATTATTTTCTAATTTTGTCCATCCTGTTCACTACCAGTGGAAATCTTCAGCTCTACCACCACCTCAATTTCTTGTCTTTTTTTAAAACATTATATTGGAGCTTTTTGCCTTTATTACAGTGATGAGTAGACAGAAAAGCAGAGAGAGAGTGGGGGGGATGATAGCCTCGGGTTGAAGCTAAATGCAGGCTGCTGTATTTTGCTTCCTGCCTCATGGTCACCTGCTCACTCTGGGAGCTACACTGACATCTGGCATCAGAGCCACAGACGACAGGAGGTCTCACTACCAAATTAATAACCTTCCCTTTCACTCTTGTTACCATCCTGTACTATCCGCTACTACCACAAATCACCCTGACACTTATCTCCACTCACTCCAACCTGCCTGCACTCTCCTTCACTTCTCTGTTGCTTTGGATGGTTGAACCCGGGTATTAAAACCACCTACACCTGTCTACTTCTCATTCACACACATGTATTCTTTCTTGCTTCTACTAACTTTCATTCCTCTTCTCTCCAGTGCAAACCTTCTCCTATCCAGCTTCCCCTTCTTTTTGCTCCCTACTCTCACTCATCTGTGAGCATCATAGTCCACGGAGACTCCTGTGTGATCTCATTTATAAGCATGTCCATCACCATCGCAAACAACAAGGGCTTCAGATCCCATAACGGATGAAATCCCACCACCAGCTTGAACCTATCTGTCACTCTCCATCACTGTTTCTCTCCTGATATGTGTCCTGCACCACTGTTATTTTTGCCCACACCTATAGAATTAAAGAGGATCCATACTCCTCCTGCCATCACTATATTAACTCTTATCTGATGCTACTGCAATGACTTATTTGCTTTCATTCCTGCGTGCACATTTATGTTTATTCAATGTTGGATTTAAAGGCTTATGTTTCGTTGTATTCTTCTATGTATGCTCCGTGTTTTTGCTTTGAATGGTTTTATCTCTGTTCTTTGTTTGACAAATCAGCAACGCCTATGAAAATGTCATGTCGATGTCAATGATGTTCACTGCCGCTTAAAGTCAAGGAATAAAGACAGTTAAGATTTATGTAAGTAATGTTACATACTGCATCATGTGCATAAATACTGCCATTTCTGACACAATAGTTTCAGGGAAGTCAAGCTACCTTCCACGGAATTGGAGTGGCGGAGTAAGGTGCCAGACTCAGGTAGATGAGTAAATAAGTAATGAACATCTGACTCAGGACAGGGTGTCTCTTATCCTAATTTTCCAAGAAGACGACTGTAAATTTTGTTCCCTTTGCACCTACATTTTTTTTAAATAGATAGCAATAACAAAATTTGGTAACACACTTTTATAGTTAGATCACTTAAATCATTAACCGCCCATAACTTGCGTTGTTTTTATTAGTGTCTGACCTGATAATGACGCTATAGTAGACATAATACAAGCGCTACAAGCTTAAAACTGAGCAGTCATAAATACTCTCGCCCCATAGAGAAGAGTCACTCTTTAACCGCTTGATTCCAAAAGAAACATTTCTCAGTTCCCAGGATTCCCACTTACTTTGCTGCAGGTGAACTCAGGTGTGTCTTGGTCAAAAATCTCCAGCGCGCCTGCCGACACGAACAGCCAGAAACACAGCGATAACAGCAGGGAGACCACGTGTGGCACCCACCGGCGTGTGAGACCCATATTTTTGGAGTGCGCCTAGCACAAGCCCTTTCACTCCGACGCACGTCTCCTGCTCCACGGCTACGCTCCCCTCCTCACGGGACACATAAAAATCAGAGCTTCTTATACTTAAAGCACCGAGCTCGGCAGGACGAGAAAATCGCGATCATGTCTAGCTCGACAGTAGCGACGCGTCGTGAGGCTCCTGGGATTTTGTTTCACCGCCCTTCCTGATAACTGAATAATCTGGAGTTGGGCGTGTATCTGCGCCACCTGCGCAGGTTTGATGGGAGGAGGGGGCAAAGCTGTCAGCGGCAACGTGAGTTTCTGCAGGGCTGGTGAATCATTCAGCAACATAAACATAAAGCGACACGCACACCAAATTGTAAAAACAAACCTGCCTGGCAACATGACTCACACTGATTGTTGTGAAGAGAGAAAGTCAAAAAGTAACAAGAAGCTGATCAGAACAAAAGTCTGTTTAGTTTTCATTATCTTAAACGGTCACAACAACCACGTGTTTGCCAACATTTTTATGGTCTATTTTTTATGTTCTTTGAGAGGTTTTTTTGCAACAGATTGAAAACAGTCGTAATGAGTCAGCGGGAAGAGTTTCATTATGTTGCTCAGTTAAACTTTGCCATCATCGTGACAATAATGATGTAGATGGATGCTTTATGGTTGTTGTTGTTGTTGTTGTTGTTGTTGTTTTCACTTGCAAGCTGCTTACTCGTTTTTTTCCGTTTTCCTTTAACTTCTCTCTAACTGAACATGCCAATTTGGTCCACTGTGTGTTAGATTAATAATCTTATCAAGAAAACTGAAACACCTGCACTAACAAACTCTTTCGTTTCACTTCTCATTTTATGGCACCTGAAACGTGACCAACATTGCTTGTTTAAACTACTAAGACCCGAACTCTTTCATGGCATGCATTTTAAATTTCTCTTTGATATTTGGGCATATTGGGACCCGATGAATGTAAAAACAAAGAAATAACAGATTTTTCCTTTTTTTCTTTTTTACCTGAATTTTGTTTTTAAGAGAAATGAGAGCCTCATATGAAGATATTCGTTTAAAATTTCAATCGAACAGTATAATGTCCTCATAAGTGGATATCAGGCCCTTGTAGAACAAAATTGACTATTTTGGTTTAAATAACCCAAAATTGATGTCCACATATGTGGACGCCAGGTCCTAGGAGGTTAAGAGAGATATGCAAACCATGCAGATGCATATATACATTTGTCTATTACCAGAGTAAATGCCCTCCTTTGCAGTTTAAACAAAATGATACTAGCTAGATATGTAACTTGTTTGATTTATGTATTTATTTTATGTATTTATTCATGTAACATTATAAAATTGTGGCTTTATTGCAGCTACAGTATTACATCAAACTACCCTCCAGAGGTCTTGTAGGAATCTAGAAGCTTACATGGAAACCTTCGTGTTTTCTTTGCTGTGGGTTGCTAAATCATGCAGCAGACGTTTACTTCACGATTAATCCTGTCTAGCAAGTCTGTCACTCAAGCTCCTGCTCGGTGATGTGCTGCCGGAACTCAAATGAACAAACAACTTATTATATGAAGTTCATAAAACAGGCGACAAATACAGAAAAAAGAAATTTCTGCGATTGAAGAGATACTTTGTCAAAGTAATTATTTTGTCAAGCAGTCTGTTTTTTATTCAAAACATATTCTTATAATGCAAACAGTGCCGCAGGCTAATGCCACCTTAAAATACTTAAGAAGGGAAAACAGCTTCAGGGAATAACTAAAACCGAGCAAACACTTCTTCAAAGGTCAATCACTTTTGTCTGTAGATCCAGACGAGATGTCACGTTTCTGTTTAAACTCACTTTGCATAATGTTCACCGTTGAAGTTCATAAAACTTCTGCAATAAATATAAGACATGGGAAAGTACCACAGACACGGTTTTCTTGTTCTAATGCTCTGAGATTTTGAGGTAACCACTGCACTACATGTTTTCCGTTGGATAATTTGAATAATACTGGCTTTATCTGTTTCTGTCTCATTGAGTCCCCCAGCCAAGTCTTACCATTGATGTTCATTTTTCGTTTCCGTTCATTAAATAACAAGCATAGTGAAAAACACAATGGGGAAAAAATACAACAACAACAACAACAAAAAAGGCCAAAATGTTAATTATTCTTCACTTTTAAAATGCAGGAGGTAGTATGTGTGCAAAAAACACACTTGTAGACACAGCTGTAGAAGTAGCCCCAGTCATAAATAGGAGTTATTACTACAAAAAGCTATCAAACCCACTAAATGCCAAAAAGATAAACACATGAATGCAGTTACTTTCTAATTAGTGAAGCACATTTTACATTTGCAGTAAAAGTGGAAATCCGATGAAAGCTTTGGCTTAATGTCTGTGTTTAGAAAATCCTATGCAAATTTGACGGTTTTTTGTAAACAGCAGTCACGCAGTTTGTCACCTGTGCTGTCACAACACTTTGAAACATTAAATGTGTTCATGAAAAAAGTGGGGTATTATTTGCAACAAGATTTTCATAGTGGTTAGCATATTCGTGCAGATAAGACAGGTGTTCACTAGGGCTCCAGTCACGAAAGCAATATAAAGAACCCTCTGTCAGAGGCTAAATGCTGTGCAAAGGACAGAGTGTTTACCTCTTCTTAACATGCAAAACATCTTGTGGCATACTGGACACAGCAGAGCTCGGTAATGAATAGTTCGTACAGAGTGAGGGTTTCAGGAGTTTGTAATGGAACACCGGCTCCCGTGTCTCGTGTTTCCAGCAAAACAAAAAACAAAAAACCCCACTTCTGTCACTTTGAAACTTGAGATTAAAACTTCTCTGCTTTCCACGGTAGTGGTAGTGTTTCTCCCGTGTAGAAACACATACACCTGCACAGTTCAGGGTCTGGCAGATAAAGGCCACTTCAGACTGCTCTCAGGCTTATGTAATGTCTTTTTCATCGAGGATATTTTCTTGATTGCACTTTATTTCGTTGTGTCTGAGGCACGAGCGTCTGCAGCCTCTGAGATAGCTTCTGTGCCAGCCATATTGCCAGCACTTTAGAAAGGACTCTGGGCCAGCAGTGCCACCTAAATTCAACACTTCTTGTCATCTCTCCCAGCTCCCCTATTAAACCCCTGAAATCCTGGGGTAAGCAGTACTGACGGACCTCCCTGAAGGCTTTTGGGATATCCTTGCTGTGGCCGAGGCCCTGGAAATAGATAAGAACAACTTCTTGATTTTTGTGCTCCTGCAGCACCCTTTTTAAGCGCGCCAGCACAGCTGTGAACATTGGCTCTATCAATGCAGAGGCCTCCTTTTGTCGGTACGAGTCTTTATCGTCACATAATTTAGCACCATCTTTTTTTCCAACAGCTTTTTCTTTTTTAAATTTTCCTACTTTTCTTCCATTCTGCTTCACATCCTCTTCCAGCTCTGCCTTGGTTTTCTCATGTTTCGTGTGTGCATTTCTGCAGTCTACCTCTTTTCTTTCACTCTGATCTGTGCTTGCCCTCTCTATTGTCCACTTCTGATAGGTTTTCTTGGCTTCAGGACTCCAAATTACAAGCACTTTTCCTTGCTCCTTGCAGACAGCATCCCACTGGCCATACAGCCAGGGAAGTGGGCCCAGATCTGCCACACCAGGCCCCGACTCATCCTGGCTTTGAGAGTTTTGGGCCCACAGAGGTGTGCGTACTGTGGCACCTAGCTCCTCCTGAAGAATTGAGCCTAATGCACACACAGCAGAGATATGGTCCGACTGACCTGATGAACACACCAGCAGCAGTGGCTTCTGAATATACAGCCAACCTAAATTTATCGGAAAAGACAAGGGGGGGGAGAGCATGTCCTTTATGTGTTTTAGTTGCTCCTTTAAGACCAACAGTGAAGCTAAAATAACAGAAATGAATTGAAATAATTCATAATTCAATAATAATAATAATTCAATAATTCAAGGCAGAGTAGTCATTCAATTTAAATTAGCCTGTGCCTTGAAACTGTAAATGGTTTCCATAAATGAACTAACCTGCAGCTCCCCTCTTTGTAGCACGGTGGATAAAAATTCCAAACGACGCAACTACAAACACAAATATCAGAACTGCCACCGCATACAAGCCGCGTCTATTGTGGGTGTCTGTAAGAAAAACAGGAAAGAATAAATAAAACAGATAATGGTGAATGTATTTACTTTGTAGGAGTTGTGTGTGTGTATGAACATTCAGATGCACCAACTTATGCTGGCAGATTCAGGTTTGTGAGCACACTTACAGTCCGGGCAGAAAATTCTTCTTCCATGACGAACAGGATCCGACTGCCACACCTGAACAACAGCACGAAAATATAGATGATAAAATGCATAAAATCCAGAAATACATACATGTATGTGTGTATGTATATTTACCTGGACGCAAGGATTTTTAGAATAAAAGTGAAGAGGCAAATTTATTATTTTTTCACTTCTGTTTCCTTCCTATAAAATAGAGAACATATGCACACATGTTCACATTTTTGTCCTTTAGCATGAATTTTTCCTTGTTTTTTAATCTGTATTAAAAATGCACATTTTTTTTACCAACCATTGTAACTGAATGTGCTTTCCCTACAGCTGTGCATTCCCTCTCAGTAAGGACACAGAGTTGGCTTGAAAACGTTGCTGGAGAAAAAGAGTTGACATGTACCATTATCATCTGCCTTCCAGGTCCAATAGAGACCTCCCAAGAAGGCGTATCTGTGGGGGACAAAAAGGAAGACTGAGTGCATAAGGGAAAAGCACACAAACAACCTGAGACTTATTAGAGCTGTTAGTAGAATTCCTCCATCCCACATCCACCCACTCACCTGCTGTAAAAGGGCAAGAGATGTTGCGTATTCCTTGTACAGAAAGCTGTAAAAACGAATTAACATCTGTGAATAAACGGCAGGTAGCGGTAGTTTCCAATCAACGCATCTAGGTGCTTCTCACCTGCACACACATCTGAGGGTGTTTGTCCACTGCAGTAGTGTCATATTTCTGTTAAAAAGTCAAAATTGGTGTTTAAAAAACAAACAAACAAAAATGTTTTTTTTCCACAAATATTCATCATGGATGCTGCTATGCTTACAAGACTGTCTTTCTTCTCCAGGGTGGAGTTAAGCACAGGCGTGCAGAGGTGTTTGTGCTGCATCCAGCAGAGGGAGGCAGAGATGTTCAGCTGGCTGGCTGGGCACAGTGTGCACAGCGTAAAACCGTCCGTG